TTGCCTGTGGTTGTTGATTCACCGTTTTGATTGAAATGAATGACCCAAGACAACAGAGGGCCACAGGCCTCGCTTACAATATAGACAAGGCTCTTTCAAAGATAGGGAGGAATGTTACATGCAAAACCTCTTAAAGATAATAAAGTTTTAGCACGCGTGTGCTAGTTAGAATGAAAATGCCAATCTTCACATTGTGCAAAGGAATAGCCAAACAAGCTCTCTCTTATAAATTATCATTCAAATCTGTTTAAGAGGAGGATAATATGTTTAAGTATAATAATAATAATAAATGTAGTGGCTGTTATTCAGTCAAATGTAACTGTAACACAAATAAATGATACTTGCATTTGATACATCACCCTATCGCATCAAAATGTCTAAATGCCCTTCACAAAGTTTTCTGTAAAGTGTCGTGATTGCATTTATAGGTGAGTCTCATAGTAATGAGATAATTGATCAATAAATCTCAATCCTTGTGTATTTGGATAAGGGAGAAATATTGGTCAGGGCATCGGGAGACTTTTGCACAGTATTAAGTCTTTGTTTGAAGAGTTAGTGGGACATTTAATATCCAGCAGAACCTCAATTCAATTTCCATTCAATGGATGGCATCTCCAGTACAGAGCTACTAAGTCAGTGCACAGTTATGACTTGTAACATGTTTACAGGCTGAGGAAAATAAACATAACCACACAATGCATGCACGTTACAGGAAAACTTTTCTGGAGCCTAAAATTCTATTCATTTGTTCATAAAATTGTATTCGTAGAGTAAGAGGGAAATGATTCTTTGAATAAAATTCAGCTGAAACATGATCTTTGGAGCGAAAAGATGTTACTGTTGAAAACAATGTCCTGGAGGCTTCTCAGTTCCTGTTAAAACCCACACACAAATCTCGCTGCAGCTTTGTAGGGACATGTTTCAATGTAAAATCCCCTTTTTTTGTTTGAATAATTAAAATCTATGTTGATGTCTGAGGAGAGGTAACAGGATGACCACCCTGATCTATACTTCACAGCCAGGATCAGTCTTGTGACCACCACCCCTTCCTTCCTTTCACAATATCTCAAACTGAACAGAACCTTGGTTTAATCGGTATTTGATAGATTCAAAAGCAAAGAGTTTGCATCATTTCAGGTTTTCATACAGTGAAAGAAACATTTTCACTTGAATGATTTGTTTCAACAGCAAGATCTTCACTGCAGTCTTAGTGAAAAACATTTTGAGCTCTTAAATGTATAGTATTGTGTTGCAATATTATAGTGACATTAATAATATGGCTGTACATGTGGTATAAATGTCCAATTCTCCCCCCCCGCCCTCCCCCCCAGCCCCTTCTAAAAGGTGGTTGAGGGCAGAACTCAGGACTTGTTTAAAAATTCTGACTCATTCATGCTGTGATAGGAGAACGGTAGGGTATATAATCTGGAAGGATGAGGTCAAATGGGCCAAAGGGTCTTCTTCATCCAAACCTCTCTTATAATCATGTGTTAATGCTTTCATAGTTGTGTCTTCTCACATTGAAGCATCTTTATTGTTGTTCTTTGTAGCACAGTGATTTCTGTAAGGCAAATGTGGCCCCTTATCTGTGTCAACAACGTCACACAAGCAGCAAAGAGCAGAACTGCCAATTGATCAGGCTTTTTAAATACTTCAGATGAGAATAGTGGTCCTCCGTGAGTAGTGTGCAACATAATGCTGCAACCGTTTTAGCATTAGTGATGATTTACTCTGAAAAACAGAGTTTTGTAAAATGCGTTCATATAAAAAACTACTTTGGAATATTAGCTAATTTCCAGAGTATATATCAATTGCAATACACCTTATTATTATGATTATTATTATTATTAACCTGTAAGCAGAACAGTTGAAAGCAGTTTTTCAATACAATATTCTTCTATGAGAGTGCCTTCAAGTAGGTCCTACATTGTATGGTTATCACTGAAAGTGATGATTGCTGTAAAATTGCTATAATCCCTTACTGAATGGCATTTACTTGGGGAAAAACACTGAAGTTGTGAGATGTAAACCGTCAAGAAAAAGAAGCTAACAATTTCCAGTGCTAGTTATTGGAACTAAAAGTTGCAGTTCTTCCCTCTTCCCTTTGCTTCCCCCTGAAGGGAAACAGGTCAGCCCAAATAGGATAATTAATAATAACAACAATCCTTACATTTGGTATATAGTCTTTCACAAAAGACGTCTCAAAGTGCTTACAAGATATATTGTAAAGTGGAGTGACTTTTTTTTGTTTGAACAAACACGGCAACCAATTTTGCACAAAGCAACAGTCATGAGGTAAATGACCAATTTAATCTGGGGAATGTTGCCCATGACACTGGAAGAAAATCCCTTCTATTTTTGAACAGTACTATTTAACGTCCATCTGAATAGGCAGACGGGACCTCCATTTAATATCTCATCTGAAGTACGACAACTGCGCCACTATAGCTCTCCCACAGCACTGAATTGGAATGTCACTCTAAACTAGAGTTTCAAGTACCCAACGTGGGGTTGAACCCACAATCTTCTGACTCAGAGGTAAGAGTGATTCCAACTGAGGCAGCTGACGCACAATAAGCCTTGGAGCAAAGGAAAGTGATTTCCCGAGTCTCATGCCTGTTATTTCTGTAATTGATGGATTCTGAGCTCTCTCGAGGATTGCACTAGATTGCAGATAAGGTCACTTCAAAACCAGTGAAGGATGAGGCATGTGGAAAATCAAACCAATGCCTCAAGTCTATGGGTTTTAGGACAAGGGAACATGAAGTGAGCTCGAATCATCCTTGCTTGAAGTTATCTGACCATTTATAACTTTTAAAATATTTTTTCAAAAGCGAGTGCCTCATTTAACATTCCTATACTACTGCGCTGTTTCTCTCTGTGTTTTGTAATTTTGCTTGGTGCAGTGATACAGTGAACTGTTTAATCCTTTGCACCACTCCCAGTCATTAAAGCAGTTAGTCGTGCATTAGCCCTTGTAAAGTTCACCCTTTCCCACAAATTAGGATCTGCAATTAAGCTAATCTTCCTGAATTAATGATACAAATTTAAAATAATATCAACTTTTTTCAGGCATTTAGTTAAATAAAATAAATACCTTAAAATACCAAGAATCATATTCTCAGAAATATCAGCTGAAGATTCCTGTAGATGTATGTAAAAAAAATCCTTTAAGTTCTTTGTAGAATTCCACCAGACATTCATAGCTTCATACTTTGAGTTTTAGAGTACTCAATGCGTTTCTCTACGTTGGTTCAATTATACACAGCCTAGATCAGGATGATCCCAGATTCACTCACTAGTCTGTGCTGTATTAGCTGGTCTGAGTTAGGTTAATAATAATAATCCTTGCATTTGATATAGCACCTTATAACGTCTTTGAAACGTCTCAAAGAGCTTCACAGAATATACTTTTGAATGAATTGGTTGTATAGTTTGTGGGCGAAACGTGGCAGCCAATTGTGCACAGCAGTGTCCCATACACAGTCGTGGATTGAGAGACCAAATTCTTATTTTTTAAACTTTTTTTTAAAGGATCATTAACCACGGAAAAATGATTTGCCAATTGACTAACAACCAAGTTCCTACTTACTGCTTGGTAAACAGAGTCGTGTTGAGTAAGAAACTTGCCTATCACTTCACCCTGTCCGGGAATCAAACCCAGGTCCTCTCTCATGCAAGGCGCGTGCTCTAACAGCTAAGCTACAGGACTTCACAAATGAATGTCGAATTGAAAAGTAAGCCAGGGCTTCTGCTCCCAGATTGTTCAGTAACCTCCTGCTGAAAAGTGTGTGTGAGGTTGTTGGATGACGTTGAGATTGGGCTGGTCTGTTCTTTCACATTTGCTCTACATGCCCAGACTCTCAGTCCAGGCTCACATGTGAAAAATAGAGAGCCAACCATCCCTCAGTTTGAGTCATTATTGTTGGGGAAAAATGTAATAGATGATGTATGGATATTCAATGTTAGCGTCTGGGAAAAGTTAAGACTATTGGTGGGTGCAGATGCAATTGAGGAAAGGGATTGGAAAAATGGTACCAGTGTCCAATGGAGATGAGCACTTCAAGGGAAATGGTTTATTGCTTAGCTTATGAGTTCAGATCGCTATAGCCTGATCACTGCCTGAGTTTCTCAGCAGGAGGGTGGCATGTGAGGAAATAGGGAAATGGAGCGAAAGAGAGACTAACCAAAACAAATTGGGAGGAGAAAAGAACGCAGAAATGTTAACTGATCACAGATGTGTATGCTTTCAGAAATTACAGAGGAAATTGAGCTAAAGTAGATTGATCTAAAAAAAAACACATTAATGGTAATGTATCACAAGGCAGTAATGTGTCTAGGGGTTCAGGCGACACCTTAAACTGAGGAGTCTGACATGTTTTTGGAAAGTAATGAGAAAGCTTGGGTACAGTTAGATTGCGTTCTTCCAGCCTGTGACTTTATCTTTGCAGTTTCTATCACTGAAGTCAAACGGCTGTAGACAGAACAGAAACAGGGTGGTTATTTTTACAGTGTGAAACTGGAATAGACTGAAAAAAGAGAGAACTTTTTATAGTGGCTTATCGCATTAAAACATCTTGAAGTCCTTCACAAGTAATTACTGTCAAGCGAAGTGACAATTTTAGTAGGTCAACATGGTAATCGTACTAGCAAAATCCCATGGAGATGATGACCATTTAATTTGGAGTTTTTTTTTGCCAGGACAGAATTACTGCTATATAATTCATTATATCTGAAATCTGGACCCCCACTATGATGATCTAACATAGAGATCTCACCTTTTAGCAATTGGTATATGCTAGTAATCTATAAGTTTGTGTTCTAAATTGCAATTTGTAGCATTACACTAAAATTAGACGGCTGATTATTCTTAAATTGATAAGAATCTGTTGAAAAGACTAGGACAGCTGCTGATGCAAATTTTTAATGGCTGTATCCCTGCATTGTTCATTATACTGCTAGGAATTCAAATTAATTTTTATGAACAACTTATTTTGCAGAATGACGAGATTCTGAATTGGTGCGAGGGACACAAGAGATGTGCTCAGGTGAGTGCAGCAGCAAACAGACTTATCAGGCATAAGCCAAATGTGCATAGTCTCCTTCTACAGTTTTTTTCTATATATGTTGGGGGGATTTATGTGTCTGTGTAAACCTTGTGTAAACATATGTGTATGTGTAAATATACGTGTGTTGTGTGAAAAGTGTAAATACATCACCACAGAGGGAATTACAGGAGAGACGGGGAGAGCATGGGAGTAGTTGTAGAGAAAAGTCTCTTCAAACACTCCTATTTAGAGACTTGGCCTCAGTCCAATTTCAGATTGTCTGCAAACTGGGAACCTCTCCGTCGAAAGTTTGAAATATTTCCAAATGGTCCACCCACCAATAATTGGAGTGTATTATACTTTTCTCACTGTTCTTAGAGCAGGAGTAAGTGAAAACAGCCCCAAGAGAGTGTACAGCGTCCACTTTGATCCTTATCCATACTGGAGGAAGCTTGTCATAGGCACTCCCTGGAGCTGGGGTCTTTTAAGTGTTTGACACAGTTACAGTAGAAGAGGATAAAACCTGCAATATCTGCAAATTTGACCTTTTCAGAGAATAGACTTAGCTCCTCATTGAACCAATAGTCACACTCTCTGTTGGAAGATTAGTACGAGAGCAAAATAAATTTTTAGTTCTCATTTATCCTCCCCCCACCCCCTCCAAAAAAGAGAGCTCAAGTTTCTTTCTGAATGCAACGGACTCTTGCGTATGTTGGTGAACAGTGTGTTGTAACTGTGATACCAGCAACCCTTCAAGCAGTTAAAGCAGATCTAAGTGGTAAGCAATTTTTCTGAGCTTGTTTATACTAATTGTCTGAAGTTACCATTACAAACTTCCCTCTCTCAGGGATCTGGGGTTAAATAGTGGCATCAGGATCGGGTACTGCCCCTTCAAAGGTGGAATTTTGACACCGAATCTCAAATTGCTTTCAGATGGAAGGTAGTCATTCCCAGACTAGGTCCAACAATACCTAAAGTGAACGTGATGCTTCCAGTAAAAAACAATGTTCCTTACACATTTAGTCTTGCTCATACTTAACATATTTACAGGGGTAAAAGAAATAATTAGCAAGGCAATTAGTCACCAGTGTAATAGATGGATCAAATTATTTCTTAAATTGAAGGTTGTGTCTCGGTTGCTCACTCTGATCCAAAACAGACCAAGTCCACAGCTAAAGAATGCAGCCACACTTCATGACTTTGAATTGAGTGCACACGAGTCATTTGTACCTTTGTTAGCTGCCAAGATTGTGGATTCACCCTTAAGAGGGGACGTGCAAAACTGAACACAGTACTCCAGATGAGGTTTCACCAATGCTTTGTTTAACTGCAGTACCATGTCCTTGTTTTACTATTCCATAACTTGCTTTCTGCACTTGCAAACTAGCTTTTAATGATTAGTGCCCCTGGAATCCGCATCCTACGTCCCGACCAATCTTCTATCTATGGTACAAGGATGTGTCTGATTCAAGTGCTGTAGAATCTATTGAGATCTCGGTATTTCCTCTGTTTCATTCCCATTTGCTTGTCCATTACAATGGTTTGTTTTTCTACTCTTCCTGGCTTAGAGTTGCTAAGGCCAATTGGAGGATATTTGCCTCTACCTAGCTGAAGGCAGGTAAATCAGCAAAGACCCGGGGATGAATCTGTAATGCTTTGGTCTATATGGCTTTGTGCTGCACTAAATTGTTTTTTCAACAGAAAATGTTTGCAGCACTTCAACACTTCCACTTTGTGACCGTCGTACCTGCATAACATTAATCCCTTGAAGGTTGGGGGCGTATTGATCCTAGGCACATTCTGAATACAGCTTGTAAGGCACAAAAAAATCTTACGTCTTCAGTACATTGCGTCTGTTTTCTGCAATAACCATGGCTACAAAATCACTGGTAAATCACTTTTTGCTGAGTGTGTTGAGGTGGCAGATGTGGAATGACTTGCAGCAACAAATCTTCCATCTGTGTCGGCCTGTGTGACAGCGCGTTCCATCAACAGGCCTGACCGCTTTAAAATTGCTGTGTTGATCGCAATAAAAACTGCGAGAATGCACAAATTCCAGACGTGCACTGAGCGACTTTTTCTTTCAAATGGTGCACTGGCAAAGCTGCCCTGTTGAAATATAGCCGTGCTGCTTTTTAACATTACAGATGTTAGTGATTTTCTTCACTCTTCCAAAGACTCGAGGTGCAAGGTTCCCACACAGTTATTGACGATCGAAAACCTCAGCCGCTCACCTCTCTCAAGCAAAAGAAACCCAAATGAAATTATTGATAATAATGATAATTCTTACACGTGGTACAGCAGCTTTAATGTTAGGAGGACGTCTCAAAGCACTTCATGGGATATATTGGAGTGACTGTTTTTGTGCGCAAATGACCCTTGCAAATGACAAATCTCAAGACAAATCACTGACCTCAAGCACTCTCCAACCCTGACCCAAGTCTTCCTCTACAAGCTTAGATGGTGTCGCCAGGCTATGCTATCTGCCCAAGCCCATCAGCACACATGTTTTTCTCAGTGAGGAAGTCACTGGATACATTTCAGGAAGGTCTGCACAGTGATGGGGAAAACTTCCATGTAGTGGATTGTCGTGCCTATTCCTGATCACTGGAACGTACTTGTGTGTGGCTTAAATGCTTCCATAGCCCCATTTCTTGCCAGTGATTACTGTCAACACTTCCCTGTGTGAGGGCCGCTATATAAATGCCAATGTTGTTATCAAGGATTGCAAACTATAATAATAAAATAATAGTAATCCTTGCAAGTAATAATTCTTATCAGATTGTCAGCACCGTTTGAAAGGGCTTTGCTGGATATACATGAATAACAGTAGTTTGGTTGAGTTAGTGTAGGATGGTTGCCCCATTGAAATAGGCCCTCCAGCTCCAGTCATCACCTACGAAACAGAAAAGGGGGACTTATGGAGGGAAAGATTGGAAAGATTACTGCAAAATACAAAGTATTTTTAATTCAGGGGAAACTTCAAATAAGAGGTTAGTTGCAATATTGATCAAAGATCTACACAATGCACATTTTATTTATACTCCGGTGCTATTCATGAATGTTACCAGTATTTTCAACAGTGAATTAAATAACGGCTGAAATGCTGCATCATGTCCACTCTTGGTCACACCTGGTTGGGGTTTTATACAGCAGTCAATGTCTCATTACTTCACGTGATTTACTGCCCTTGACCTGGGAGCAATAAATGTACCAGATGAGCAGTGACTGATGAGAGAACCTTGTGTGTAACAACTTTAACCCTCCCTGAGTAAGGGATTTACCAGGTAGCTTTTCAATGGCACAAGTAACTTAAACATTAAACAGGAGAAAACAAAGACTTTGGGGATTTCCAATGTGTAATATCTCAACAAACGGGTGATGGCTAGGATATCAAACTCATTGTATCCAGGTTCAGGTTGATCCTGGAAGTTTTTCTAAAGCTGGTTCAAGTCAACTCTACAGAATAAATCCATAAACCTATAAAATAAATACCAGATCATGTTCACCCACAAAAAGCACATAGCCATGTTACTTTACAGTATATCCTGCAAAGGGTTTTGAGACATCCTCCCAAGTGTTTTGAGACACTCTTACACAAGAGTAAGGATTATTTATTAAGTATTATTTAGAACATGTGATGGATGGGATATCAATGAGGTTTGATATTCCACCACTTGTTTGTTGAGGCATTGATCTTGGAATGAGAGGCTAGACTGTGAGCAATACAGGAGCGATCAGTCACTTCATTTATTCCTTGATTCTGAGTCGGTAAAATCAAAACTGGATTAAATGGTTTAGAATTCTCATTGCACCTTCCTGTAGCTCTGTCTTAAATATTTTAATCCCATTAATGTTCTTAGTTTGATTGAACATGTTGTTCACCTTCAGCAAGTTGCTGCTAGCTAGGATTGTAGCCAGATAATTGTAGCTGCGATAATTCATTCCTGGTAACTGGTTTCTACTGGATGTACTGATGCTCCTCAGTGGGTGAAAAACAGCCTTTTGGCACCATTGCTTGGTCAGTGTGGCCCAATTACATCAGAATTGCCCAGAACTCCAACCTGGACCTGTCGCAGAAAGGAATGTCTGTAAAATGTGTAAGATTTTTTTCTTTTTAAAAAAACACGTTAGAATAAGGAGTATTTGATAAAAAATAAAGTTTATATAATAAAAATAACAATGAACGAAAGTGCAGGGAGGTCAAGAACACGGTGAATGCTCACTACACGGTACTGTACTACCATGTGTAAGAGCCTTCTCCGTTGCTTGCTCTCAAATCTTAACCACATCACTGTGTATGGAAGCAATAAGCACATTATACTGTATTATTGTGTCCTGTTGCAGACCAGCAACTATTGTCAGTGTCTGATCCTTCCCTGGCAAATAGTCCTGTCTTGAAATCCTTCCTTGTATTTTTAATAGGACTACAATATGCGCCTGGAATGTTCTGAGTTGTTCTGCAGTAACCTGATACTGTGTAAATGGTTTCCCACCTGGTTTTAACTTTTCCCATCTGCAAAGATTAATGAACAATATGACGGCAACAGTGTTTTTTTCAAAGCACTTTTTATATTTAAGTGTGTTTGCATTCATTTTGTATCAAAGTTCACCACTTTCAGTGCACATGTGAGTAAAATGATCACTGAACGATTTACGTGTTTTTGTGTGCACATCCACTGTTTCTGGAGCCTGAGTGAAAAGACACGATTGAAGTGTCTGGAGTACTGATCGAGCAGCTTGTAAAGAGCTTGCTATGCTATAAATCTTGTGAAGCCAACCACATGTAACAAGCACTTCCAGGAAGTGTAGAACAATGCAGCCAGCATACAGTCTGATTAAAATATCTGTACTTGTGCCATATGTGCCCGTCTTAACATCATCAATCCAGTTTGGGAGAAGGGAGAGAATGTTTCCCATTTCCTTTCCGTGAACATTTGATTGTAGAATTACAGCGCTGGAGCTGTGTCTATTGCTTTTTATGGACAGTTAGATTGATG